TTCCCTCATGACAAAGTGTCTCCCTCTACTAGTGACCAGGGGGACAGTATATCATAGCTATATTTCCCTCATGACAAAGTGTCTCCCTCTACTAGTGACCAGGGGGACAGTATATCATAGCTATAATTCCCTCATGACAAAGTGTCTCCCTCTTCTTTCAAATTCTAATAACTGTACGGTGAATGGCGTTTTTTTGGTACTCTCGTTTCGTTTAATCACGAAATATTCTGTGAACCTCTTGAAGTATTTAATCAAGCTTAATTTAGTTGGTTTAAGTTATGTTTTAGATAGATAAAATAGTTGTCTTACCTTTTTAAGACGGTAGCTTGTGCTTTGAGCTTAACTTTATATTTCATTCGTATTTGTATTTATGTTTTTTAAATTTCTCGATTGCTGATCGACAACAGTAACCGCTATTGCACTATGCCGCCATTTTGAGGGGACATAATTAATGGGGGGTCGCATGTTGTTATCTATGACAAAGTGACCCCGGGGGACGTTTTCAAATGGGGGGCTTTCACGCATATTACACCGGCTTTTGAAATGTGGCATATCTTGGAGTGAAATTYAACACAGCAGCTGCTACCTGCTCATAAACGACTTTACTGGACCCATTAAAACCCAGAAACCCAAGACCCAGAGTTTTTGCTTTTTTTATTTTGAATTATGGTATGAGTGTAATACCATGGAATTATATACCATGATATTTGTATATTCCTAAGGCAATTAATGAAATAATGATTGGCAATTAATTGCAGGTCTTTTTTTTACCTGAACCCAGTCTAATACCTTAAGTTCGGGAAACCTTGCTATTATTGCGCATCCATTTCATGCATCTTGTGTTTTTATTGTGTGTTTCGAAATTTTCATCCTAACGTTATGTAAATTCAAAATCTCTCCCACAACAATTATCAAACCTAAGATTTGTTGGATTTAGTTTTATATTTGTTTAAAAAAAATGAATTTTCTTTCCATTTTGTAAAACTGTYCTTTACAAAATTATACCTAGCAGCTCTTTAAGGGCTAGAACCCAGTCCTGCATGGTCAAGAAATCAAAGGTAACCCATGGTAAGCTCGTGAAGCTTTTTGAGTACCAATGAACTAAKATGATAACGCCATGAAAGCGCCMAAAACTAGACTTTCCTAATAGTTTTGATCCCAATTTTCGTTTTGGGTTAACACTCAAAGCTTTTTTAAACAGTTAGAAACTGATGTACTATGATAAAATGCCTGTTTGAAGCGGGTATTTTCAATTGTACAAAGATGTTTTGTYGCATATGTGTTAGAATTTTGCTTTGTCAGSCTTTTTTTATAGAAAATCATMATAAGCAAATGAAGGCGTAAACCTCATTTTCGAATAAAATTTTTGCTTTGGGTTAACACTTTGATTCCACTTTTTCATCGGTCATCTCCACTTCCAAACAAGTTAAACTTTCTGAATAACGAGATTTTAGCYTTGCACAACAGCCTTTCTTCTAGAAAAAAAGAAAGAAATACACTATGTATGATAAAAATCTATTAAAAAATTGGCTAGAATCCTTTTTTTCGGATTTCTGGTTACGAAATTTTTCTACGATTGAGATATCTGGACCGAGTCCGTAATCTATCCAATATATGACAAACCAGGCTGTTTTCGGATTCTTCTTCTAACTTGATGATAAATACGAGAATCTCTATCTCAAGGTCCAATAAAAAGAGCATAAAGTAAACTAAGAATACTTAAAATATGCAGCTGATTACAAGTGATTTTGAAGTGATCGAAAATGGCTTCCTCTATAAACATCTTCCAGTGACGTCACTTGGCGAATACAATGGATTCCATGGTTACGGGATTAAAAAAAAAAAATCACTTTTATTTAAGTGTCTAGTCGTTCTAGCGCTTTTGCACTAATTGGGGATACTTTTCGCTCACACGCACTACCACTACATTTAATATTCTATGCACACAACGCTCAACTCACATGTTGATTTTTATTTTGGGATTTACCCAAAACGATTGGCTGAGAAGCGTTATCCGAAAAATGCGAAATCTAGCCACCCCAATAGCTCTTCACGAGCTAAAAGCTATTTTAGTTTCAAATTTGAAGAATCATGATACTACAGTAAATCTCATTTTTTTGCACAATTACCTTTAAACCTTTTCATATAAAGAAAAAAAAAAAGCATACTCTACTGTAAGGATTTTGAGTATATTTAAATGTTTTATTCAGCTATCATTTTATTCTCTTTTGGTTGTCAGAAAATATCACTATTTTGACCAGATTCCACAAGGCCACTACCCCAATATTCCACATCTCCTTCCTGATTTCATTTCCATTTTTGCTCCTCTTTCTTTAGAGGAATTATGAAGGCAAGTATACCGTAAAAGTTATGACTCCCGAATTAATTTAAATGGAAATATTCAGAACATACTTACCACTGTTGTTGATATTGTCAGTATTTTCCATAGTTGTCATGTTATGGTGTCCTGGCGTCCTGCCATCAGCTTCTACAAGTGGACAAAAGTAATAGTGGTAAACTTACTTCGTTTCTAATAGCCTAGTGAATAGGACAATCATTCTGTAGAAGATCTAAATCTCCTTTTCTTAATTTACCAAATCAAGAACAAGACGGTATGTAACACACACAAACACGCTCATCACACAACAGTAATGTTGGCTTCTAAAGTTTTTATCTTTGTGATAATTCCTTTACTTTAAGCGCTATAGAACGTTCAAGAAGGTAGGAAACATATTTTTCTTTCTAAAGACTTTTAGTTGGTCTAAGCGAAAATGTGAGCTAACCAACATTTTWAAACTTGGAACGAAACTACATGTACTTCAGAAGCAATAAGAGTGACCATTGGAACACAACACTTTTCACACGTATGAACTTCTTCGGCTCTGACACGTAAATTTTTTTACCAAATATTCAACTGTTTATTAAGCTGTTCGAGCAAGTATGATTATAAAAATGAG